ATCATCGAGGTCAGTGGTTTCATATCTAAGATTGTCTAAACTTTCTTTGGTTCATCTCTATCCCCCTTTTGTTAATCATAATTAACCTGTTAGTGCAAAAAGATAGAACAAATATCACAAAAATCTTTTTAGTGCAATGGCACAAAAGTATATCACCAATGGTATGGTAAACAAAAATTACTATTCTCAACAAATGGCACTATTCAAAATCAGTATCGATATCATAAAATACATGTCGACATGGCTAACAATTAACTCCTATTGGTAAGTGTCGTAACGTCTAGATCCGGGGATCTATCGCCAGACATTGACTTTAGGGAGTCGCCACCAATCTTTTATCCAGGTGTGATTGGCCACCTAAGGAATCTGCCCTTTTAGGGAACACCTAAGCTTAAGGGTCCCTAAAAGAATAGGTTCGGGTCTGCTTAACCAGAACAGAGTTCGGGAGTTCGGTTACGTGTGAGGAAGGTTATAGCACCCTCACAACGCCCATCAAAAGATGGTACCAGCTTGAATTTGTGTTATCCAAAAGCCTTAAAATTTTACCAAGTAGTTAGTTGTTGAAAATTATTCTCAATTGACTCTAATACTTTTAGCAGAAAATTGAGAAAATTCCCTCACCTCAAGAGTATGCAAGAAAAAATACTGTTTCACTTGCAGAGGCTCCGTCGTCGGATTATTTAAAGAAAAATCAAGATCAACCAATTAATTAATTATCGAAAATTATTCTCAATTGACTCTAATACTTTTAGCAGAAAATTGAGAAAATTCCCTCACCTCAGGAGTATGCAAGAAAAACTACTGTTTCACTTGCAGAGGCTCCGTCGTCGGATTAATTAAAGAAAAAAAAATCAAAATCAGCCAAGTAATTAATTATCGGAAATTATTCTCAATTGACTCTAATACTTTTAGCAGAAAATTGAGAAAATTCCCTCACCTCAGGAGTATGCAAGAAAAACTACTGTTTTTACTTGTAGAGGCTCCGTCGTCGGATTAATTAAAGAAAAAAAAAATCAAAATCAGCCAAGTAATTAATTATCGGAAATTATTCTCAATTGACTCTAATACTTTTAGCAGAAAATTGAGAAAATTCCCTCACCTCAGGAGTATGCAAGAAAAACTACTGTTTTTACTTGTAGAGGCTCCGTCGTCGGATTAATTAAAGAAAAAAGAAAAAAAATCAAGATCAAAATCAAAGTCAAATAAAAAAAAATTCAAAAAAAAAAAAAAAAAAAACTGGAGCGGCTCGGATCGCGGCTCGGCTCAAGGAAGAGAAAACGGCTCGGGGGAGCGGCTCGTCGGCTTGGCTCGGCTCGGCTCGGCTCGGAGTGGGCTGGCACGCGCGGGTCCGAAAGCGGGTCGACGCCCGGGTCGGGTCGGGTTACGGCAAAACGCGCGGATCCTCTTATTAACTTAAAGCCAAAACGACGTCGTTTTGGGAGGGTATAAAAGGCACCTTCCTCCGTTTTTCAGCAGACCGTTCCTCCCCTCTCTCTCTCTTCTTCCCTTCTTCTCTGCCTTCTCTAGAATTTGAAGAACGTCGATACCGGATTCTGGAAATATCGCCGGAATCTGAGAATTTCGCCGGAAAATGGCCGGAAGTGGCCGGATGGTCGCCGGTTTCTGGGATTCTCCGTCGGAAACTGGGTCTGTCGCCGAAAACTTCAAAGTTCGCCGGAATTATCGCCGGAAAATTCAAAAGTCGCCGGAATTTTCGCCGGAATCTGGAAATTTCCCAAAAATTTCCAGAAAATTTTTTCGCCAAATTTTTCTAAAAAATTTTTCTCACTGCCAGAACACTCCTAAACTTTTCCTTAGCTCTCTAAACACCCCTATTCTCTCAATCAGTAGCTTTTGCTTCTGTTTTCTGTGTGTTCTTGACTGTTCCAGGGGGGTCCCTTTTATAGGGATTGATCAGGAGTTTCTGATCAATCCCAATTCCTCTTTGGACGGGAATTCAGTCTTTGAATCCAATTGGACTCTTCTGATTGAATTCCCCTTCAGAGTGGGAGTCTTCAACTTTGAATCCTAGCCCTCCAAAATAAAAATTAAAATAAAATTAAAAAAAAAATCTAGATAATTGGAAAGATAAATCAAAAGATAAAAAATTTTCAAATAATATCTGAAAATCAGAAAAAATCAGAACAGATAATTAAAAAAAAAGATAAGAATAATAATATAATAATAATAAATATATAACTATATACATATAAATCTATTCTAATGAAAAAAAAATATATATATATATATACATATATTAATACATAATAATAAATAATAAAATACACAAGAGAGAAGAAAAAAATAAATAAATAAATAAATAAAAATAAAAAATACGGGGTAAAAATTCAATTGGGCCTTGCCCATTTGGGCCAGGCCCAAATGATCTGGGTCAGGCCCAATTGATCCGGGTCAGGCCCAATTGATCCGGGCCCGGACCTGATTGGGTGTCTACAGTAAGGTCAAAACATAGTCATACTAAGAGATAAAAACCACAACATATTTTTAAATTACCCAACATATACAAATTCAATATTTATAAATTTTTTCAAAACATAATCCATTCAAAATAAATTTCATAATCATTTCAAAGCAAAATTTCATATTTTGACAAATGATGAATATATAAACATATTATTACGAAAGCATATTTGGAAATCAAAATAATATCAAACCATATATACATATTGCATTTCCAACTCGATTTACAAAACAAATGGATAAAACAATATATATATATATTATATTTCCACTTTAAATGTATTGAGGCTGATTTTTAGGGACACAAAAATCGAAAGAATATCAAGTTACTTATCTAATGCATTAAACCAAAACTTAAGTAGCAAGTTACACAATTCTCTTAGTATCCTATAATTCAAGAAATATTCAAAAATCAAAATTTATCCTGAAAACATAAATTTGATAAGGCAAACCTTTCACGGGTCATCCTAAGCAAATTAAGTTGTGTAGCAACCTTTTTGACAATTCAAAACTAATTAAAAGTAATTTTTTAATGTATAAAACAAATTTTCTTTTAATATAGCAAAATGTCTAAAATTAAGTATAAATATGAAATTAAAAATTAAAATATAAAAATCAATAGCAATATATATTTTTACAAATATTTAATTTTTAATACTTAATAGTAATCTTTTTTTTTTTGTAAATTTAAATATAACTTAATAACCATTTAACATTATTAATAATTTGAAATTAACACAATAAAAATATATTAAAATAAATAAAAATTCATTAAAAATGATATAACTAAAACTTATGTGATTTATAACTAAGTAAATCAACTATTGGCTGGATACAATTTTTAATATAATTAAAAATGAGAATTTCTAAATTCTAAAATTTATACATTCTATAATCATTTGACTTATTTTGAGTCACAAAATCTCAAACATCCTATAGTTCCTAGTATCATAGGAAAGTATAAATTTAAATTAGGAATGTAATACTATAACTTAAAATTTTATTTCGGCAAAAATGATTTCTAAAAGCCTAAGTTTCGAAGGCCAAAACTTGACAAATAATGATAAACAATTCAAATTTTCTGAGTTTCATATTCATGAAACTTACTTTAGGTCTTCGATTCTCTTAGCTTATAAAAACTCTGAACAAACCAATTATACCACTAGAAAGTTCACATTGTGTATTATCAAAAGTATCTAAAGTTAGACTAAATCAGCTATCAGAGTAAGAAGTTTCGTTGGTTTAAAGTTAGACATTTGTAATTATCAGAAATCCAAAAATAAAAAATTTGAAACATTAAATTCTTCTAAATTACTTAACTAAATGAAATATCACACATCTCATCAGAAAGGTCTTTAAGAGACTTTTCCATTGATACCTACAATTTCATTAGATTGTCACTAGAAAGTCACCAAAATATTTTTGAAATTAAAAAAATATAAATATATAGGTGAATTTGTGAAAAATTACATAAAACATAAAAAATTAAATAGTTTTAAGCAAAATCTTACTTTAATAAGTGATTTCTAGGATTGATTTGTCCTATCTTTTCTTTTATTCTTCTTCTCATGTGTTTCTTAAAATTTTTTATTTTTTTATTAGAGAAAACTACTAACAAAAATTGTCGATAATTTTTTTTTATTTTTATTTTTTACCAATAATACTTATGGGCTAAGTCACTATTTAGGGTATAAAATTGGTCTTTAATATTACAAAAGGTGCAGGCCCTCCGCCGGTGGATGCGGAAGATGCGCTTGGTCCATTTTGGGAGGTGGCTTTTTGTTTTTATGTTTTTCAGAGAGAAGAGTTTGTGGAAAGGGGGAAGCGTCGAGTGGAGTTGCGTAAAAAGGAGAATTTACCACGGTTTTGCTTTCATCAAAATCCATTTCACGGCGCTGCCAAACGAAACTTAAGGAAAGAAGTCAAAAAAAAATCCATCAAATTTCACACATCAAAATTCAAACTAAAATTTAAATTCCAAGCAATTTAAATCTTAATAAAAGAAACAATTTTTAATTTGATTTTCTAATAACACTCTACTTCATTCCCAATAACCTGCGGTGAAGCATTATCGTTAAGCTAGTGGAAGTAGATTAATTAAAAACAAAAACATGCTCAATTTGAAAGAAAATGCTCAACCAAGAAAATATGACATATTCCAGTCCACTTCGATTATTACCAAAGTTTAACAGTTAAAGAATTTTCTCTCAAACGTTGAAACATTTTCCTTTTCCTTTTTTTGTTATTAAATATAAAAACGCTCTATTTAATTGATTAAAGTATTTTTAGCTGATAAAGTAATCCCATTTTGTTCTATCTTCTTGTACGGCCTTCTTGGAACAATTTCTTTTATAAAATTATTATTAAAAAAATTACAATTATATTCAAATATTATATATAAAAAATAATTTAATTAAATAAATAAATCAACAAATTTAGAACTTGTATATAATTAGATAAATCCAAAATATGTTAAATCAAAATAAATAAATGATAAAATTTGAACTTGAAACCTCAAATTATTTTTGAAACAATACTGAAACATTCAACTTTAGTCTAATCGAGTTATACCTGCACCTCAAGTTCATGAATTGGTAAATGGATACCACATTTCTTCACAAGAATTCCACCATGCCCCTCAACAGAAACTTCAAATTCATCTCCTTCATCCACTTTTAGACCCACATACTCTTTGGTCGTCAAATAACATATCCAGGTATGATCTTGACATATATTAGTATCCAAATCAAGTGAAGACTTATCTAAAGTCTCATAGCCCTTGGTATTATTTTTAAAATGTATGGTAAGAGAATTATACGTGCTGTCATCATGCTCATCTTTGGTCGAATAGACAACGCACACAATCATAGCTCGAGTTTCACCACTTGAGAGGGAAGGAACGCGAAACAATACTGAAGATCCCATTTCTGTATAGTCGAACCAACCTGGCACCTCTCTAGCCGGGATGCAAGCTTCCAAATACCTTTCCTTGGACCAAAAACTCCCCTGTTTCAATGAAATCTCCGTTATGAATATTAACAATATAGCGTAGAGAGAGAGAGAGAGAGAGAGAGAGAGAGAGAGCACCTCTCCCCAGCTGACGGAGCACCGTGGGTTTAAATGACGAAGATCCCACATGTCCATTCTTTCAACGCAATTCGTCATTTTGAGTCCCAAAATCAGCGCACCTACGTTGAATAGGTTTGGGTATCTATGGATTGATGTGCACCGTTTTGCTTGGAAGTAATTTAAATTTGGAGGAAGCTCTGGAATTGATTGAAGGTTCGTGCAATCATTTAAATGCAGTTCAAATAACTTAGGATGATTGCTAATTCCAACTGGCGTTCTATAAAACTTGTTTCCATCTAAATACAACCGATCAAGAAATTGGAAACTCCCAAAATCAATAGAAATATCATCGTCAGATAAGTTTCGATGACTGAGATCAAGCTTTGTTAATGAGCTTAAATGAGAAAACGTAGCTGGTAGTAATGTGGAAGAACCTACACTTTTTGGTGAAACCCATCTTGAGAAGGATGCGGACAAACACTTGGTAGTCAACTCTTCTTTACATCCAGCTAATAATAGCTCTTCAAGGTTCTTCAAGAGTCCCAAGGAAATAGGCAATTGCTTAATAGCAGACCCATTAGCAAGAAGCTTTCTCAAACCTTCCAACTTGTCCATATGCTCTGGTAACCTGTTAAGTTTCGAGCAACCATTAACACTCAAGGTCTCAAGAGATCTTACATTGCAAATGCTGTCCGGAAGTTCCCTTAAGTTGTTGCACTCTGCCAAATTCAAGATTACAAGTCTTTCCAGCAGCCCAATGGATTGATGAACCTTAATCAAACTTGTGCAACCTTCAAATTCTAGTCTTTCCAGACTTGAGAGTCCAGCAAAGTTCGGTGTCTTCACAAGGCATATTGAATAGCTGAGATCTAGTATTTTAAGCTTGTGGAGAAACTGTTACAACAAGAAAAGAGAGAATAAGAACAAGTTAGTATGTAATAAAATTTGAAGAGAAAATGAAGTTGTTATTAATATTGAAAAGAAAGTGAGTGTATTTGGTGCTGCAAAGTGATTTTAATTACCTTTGTCTCCTTCCAAACTTTTCTGACATTACTAAATCGCAAGTCAAGAACAGCCATGTTATCTAAATCGAGGTTAGGCGGTAAAACTTTTAGAGGACACCTATGCCAACAAAGCCATCTTAATTCTTTGGAAAAGTTTTCATAGCTGCCACCAGCAAAACGTATGGAATTAATTTTCAGCAATCTTAAATTGATCATCTTTGCCAATGCTTCAGTAGTGCTCACAATGACATCTTCTCTGCAGGCTGATACATCTAGGCTAAGACCTTCCACAGATTCAGTTCCCTAAAAAATGAAAAAAAGAATATCATCCCTTTGATCAATCACAATACTTATGTACTTATATGTATGAAATGTTTTTAGTAAACTTACCTTGTGCGTTTTTAGTACGTTTACTATATCCTCATGAAACCATAGTCTGCTGCATTTTCCAATATGATTTGGTGATTCTGCACGAACAATCTCTCTTCCCATGTCTCGAAGTAGGTCATGCATTTTTATAAGCGTATGACCACCTTGGTGATCAATTGTTATGAGAGACCTCTCCAAGAGAACACTAACACCGATTACTGGAAAGAAACCACAACCATCTAGTATTTTCATGACATACTCTTTATCCAGTCCGATGAAGAAACATGCAATATCAAGGAATATGGCTTTAACTTGGTAATCTAGTGTATCAAAACTTATCCTAAGCTTCTTATGAATTTGGTCATGAGGTATGTGTCGCAATTTTTCGACCACACTTTCCCATTCAAGCTGGCTTCTTTTAAACAAATGAGAACCAAGAAGTTCAAGAGCTAGGGGAAGTCCTTGAACATGATCCACCACACTCTTGGAAAGTTGGAAGTAACCATCTTTGGGATTAGGCCTCCTAAATGCATGCCGACTGAAAAGCTGGAGAGACTCCTCAGGATTCAATTCTTCAACTTTATATCTTTTGTCCACCTCTAATTCAGTCAGCAAACGTGCATCCCTTGTTGTAACAATAATCCTACTTCCTATACCGAACCACTTTAGATCCCCAACCAATGAATTCAATTGTGTTGAATCATCCACATCATCAAGAACAATTAAAACTCTCCGATGACAAAGCCTTTCCTGAATCAAATTGATTCCTCTGTCAACATTATGAATCCTAATACTTTTCAAATTCAGGATATCAGAAAGGAGTTGTTGTTGTATGCCTGCAAGACCATTAGTTTTCTTAGATATATCTTTAACATCTGAAAGGAAACTGCTTCCATCAAACCCATCACAGATAGAGTTGTAGACAGCTTTTGCTATGGTGGTCTTTCCTATACCACCCATTCCGTAGATGCCCACAATGCGAACATGATCAGATTCCATTCTTAATAACGCCATTACCTCTCTAACGCGGGATTGTAAAGCAACTGGGTGAGTGGCAACATGCAGGTGAACGCGGTTTATTTTTCTTAGGACATCTTCCACAATCTTTTGGATAAACTTTGATTCATGCCTGCAAATTTAGATAGTAGATAGTAAAGACAATGTATATATCCAGGTTGCGACGGGTAAGATTTGCCCCAACCAATGAGTACAGACTCAAATTATGAAATCAAAACAATCCAAAATTGCAATCGAGGATTATGCTTTACTTTTACATCACCAGGACAAGTATATCAGAAGAATATTCAAATGTGAATGCAATTCATATAACAAAAAACAGATATAGATTTTTCTTCTTGAATTACAAATAATCAACTTTCATCAAATATAACCTTGTGCATAATTAACAATAATGTTTTAATTTGGTTATCCAAAATTGGTTCTGTTCAATTTACCTTTTTGTTATGTATAAATCAGCCATCCATGTGCTAAACATATTTTTGGGATAGTTTATCTTGATTAGAAAGAATTAATACCCGTTTGCAACGTTTTGTAGATCCCAACCAGATAAATCTGCAGCATCTGAAAGAGCTGTCCTCCACATTTTGATCATCTCCATATCTGCTTCAAAACGTTCTTCGTGTTTAGCAAAAGCTTTTGCATAACTTCCTGTCTGTTTCCCAACATCAGATGGATCGACTTCATAGAAGATTGGAATAACAATCTGCCCTATTGCGTTTTTGCACCCAATAATCTTCACAAGCTCATTTAGGCACCACCTGGAATAAGCGTAGCCTTTTGAAAAGACCACAACAGAGATTTTTGATTCTTGGATCGCCTTGAGCAGCTCTGAGGAGATGTCTTTGCCTCTTGAAAGTTCATTATCATCTCTGAAGGTGTTCACTCCAGCTCTTATCAAGGCTGCGTAGAGATGATCGGTGAAGTTCTTGCGTGTGTCTTCACCTCTGAAACTTAGGAACACTTCATATTTAGATTTTGGGGTAGAAGAAGATGCTTCAGATACGTGTGTGGAAGCCATGGAAGTTAACCAAAAAAATAATAGGTAAAAAGGTTTATGCAAACTTTGGACATCAAATGCAAATTTATGGTCCGTGGTTGTTAGACCCATTGTGAAAAAATTAATATATTAGATTTATTTTTGGGATTGTTGCACTTTCTCCGAAACTCCCATAGAAAATATTGTTTCAAATCATCACCAAACGATCTAGTCAAAGTGATTTGGGGCTGGAAAAATCTTTAGCTGATCCAATTTCCAGATCGTTACTCAATATTCATAGATCTTGCTCCCTAGAGAAACTTCTCTAAGTTCTTCACGAAAACTGCTAAAAAGACCTTAGATGAAGATTTTTATGTAAAATTTATAAAATTTTTTATTACAAATAATTTAATAAAAGTTTTAATAAAAATCTAAATCAATATATTAACAAAGTTCAATGAAAAAATTATTAAAAATGTAATTTATAATTAAAATTTGATGAATTTTTATTTATCGATAAAAATTTTATCAAAATTTTGTTATTAAAAATATCCATAAAAAATATATAAAATTTTTCAATTTTTTTTAATTTAAACACCAAATTTATATAATAAATCTTTTAATTTATTAATTTTAATTTTAAGTTTTTATTTAATTAATTTTTATAAAAAATTTCATAAATTTTACTTAAAAATTTTATTTTTTTTTATGTCATGATCCTTTCATTTATTGGGTATTGGAAAAAAAAAAAAAACTGATCTAATGGGTGATGTTGATGCATGTTTGTCTAGTTCCTGGTCATTGTTTAAAAAAAAAAAAAAAAAACAAGGAAGGGAGACACAAAGGATAGTGAGGGCAGGGAAAGGGAAGAGAAACTTAACGAGAAAAAATCATAATTCGATTGTAAGTTTCGTAGTAATTTCATCAAGTCAAGTTTATTTTTCCTTTGTCCTACATGGACTTTAGACTGAAAGATTCAAAATTGAAGAATTTACAAAACACGGTGATTGAAATTTAACAAGCTCAAGAAACATGCATGTTTGGTAAACAAGGAAAAGATTGTGTTACTGCATTTCTACCAACTCCATAGAAAATTTGGCCCCAAACTATTTAATGATTTGACAGATCAAAGAAATTCAATAGGGGAATGGAAATTGAAAGGAAAATGCTTAGATTATTTCATAAATGAAGTAAAGATGTGGATAGATAAAATATGAGATAAATAGAGCATTTTTTATCTTCATGTTTTATATTTTATATAGTATCTATCTCAATCTCATACTTAATAAATATTTTAAATTTTTCTTAATAATGATGGATAATTTTTGCAATCGTAGTTTTTTTTAAAAAAATAAAAACTATATTTTTTAATTTTTAGTTTACACATTTATGTAATTTTTTATAAATATATATTTTTAAATACAAATATATTAATTTTAATTAATTTAAAATAAATTTTATATTATTAAATAAAAATTAATTTATTAAATATATATATATGCAATATGAGTATAAGATAAATATTATATTACTCATCTTATACCTTGACGAAACATTTAAAATAATACTTATCTCATTTTCTTCCTAAAATTTAATACCCATCTTTATTTTCACTAAAATAAAAAATCAAATTCTTCATTAATTTCAATAAAATTAACATTCTTAAAATAAATGCTGACAAAATGCCAACTCAAGTTTCAATTATGTGATGTTGGATACGTTTATGTTTGGTTCTTAAAAGGTGTTTATGGGTTGGACCAAACTAGGCTACGCTTAGTTGATTTCTTTAAAATTTAGGCTCAAGATCGAGCTCAGTCAAGCTCTCCCTTTAAAAATTAATTTAATATTAAAATATTTTATTTTATATTTTTAATATTTTTAAAATTATTTTATAATTAAAATTAAGCAAGAAATAATTACTTATTACAATGTAATAATATCAAGGTTGGCCAAAGAATAATATAATAATATCATGAATTGAGTGAAATCGATCTCAAATCTTAAATATTCTATCAAAAGCATAAATTAAGCAAACAAGTTCATTTTTTAGAAGATCTATCATTGTCCAAATTAAAATAAAAATTTAAACATCAAAGAGAGACACAAAAGTTAGTGATGAGTGGAAGTGAAAGGAAGAGAAACTTCACGAGAAAATCATAATTCAATTGTAAGCTTCATTTGATATATATCAAATCAATTTTGTTTTTGTGTTTATCTTTTATATAGACTTTAGAATGAAAGACCAAAAACTCGTAAAAACACTGTAATTGAAATTGGATAAAGTTTAGAAACATCAGGGCAATTCGTAAAGAAGAAAGATTTTGTATATATAATTCTACCAACCCCCTGGAAAATGTCATATTTAAATCAACACAACCGGTTTATGGATACAAATTCTGAAGACAAATTAATAAAATATTATTTTTAAAATATAAATATAAAATTAAATATATATAAATATAAATTAAATAAATAATAAAAATATTATATATATCGAATCGAAATCAATTTATTTAAAACTCAACTCTTATTTAAAAAAAATCTATCCAACCTAATTTGAAATTCAATTTAAAAAAAAAAAAACCCATTTTATAAGATCAAATCAGATAAAAAAGCCAATGAATTTGAATTGGACTGCCAATTCTAATTTACTAGCATGTGCCAACTACCAAAATAATAGGCGGCACCAGTTACATGGGATTAGGAACCTGAGATTTGTGCAGTGGATTGTGGGCGGGGATAGGGTGTTCAGTGATTTCAAAATGTTGAAAAACAAATCATTTGTAACTAATAAATTCTAAACAACACAGTAACATGGCGTGAGATCTTAACAAATGTGAAAAAAATATAAAAATAAATTATACAATAATTTCTATATTTTATATATATTAAATATAAATTAAATAAATATTAATACTCGAATTGCTAAATTCAGGATCAATCTTATTGCATTAGGCTTTCCATATTAGTTTAATTATATTGATAATCATGCTTTGTACAGTGCATTAAGCTTTCCACATTCACTTTTGACCAAAAGAAAAAGGGCGTTTGGATTTTGTGCTACTCAGTTCTCACCACGTTCGCTTTTACTATAAAAAAAAATGGCATTGGTACCGCGCTCTTAAGGTGAAGTATAGAGTATGACTCAGTTATTACGTAAAATATTAAAATTTATTATTTGATTAGTTTTATTTTATTTTTAATTAAATTAATTAAATTATTTTAAAATTTTTTAAATCGAATTAATCAAATTCATCGATTCCTTAGTTTTAATTAAAACAAGGACATTAATACGGACACATCGGTGAACCCGAGGATTCTTATCAATTATACCGCTTAAAATGTAGAGAGAAGCGTTTCGGAAGTACATGGATCTGAAATTAGCTCATGATCCATTTGTGTTTTATATAGGAAATGGCATTAGTAATTTGAATATTCTTTTCTTATTAAAAGAAAAAAAAATTAACAAAAGCCTTAATCTCATGAGCCATAGCCCAATATCCAGGCCCACAGCATAGTATCCCACAAAGTAAACAAAACAAAGTTTTCATTTTTGCCTTGCAGTTCCACTCCCATTGACGTGTAGCAAATGGCAACCGACCCTAGTTTTTAACTGTTTTCGTCATCTAACGATAAACCGAGTTTAAGTTAGGGTTTTTGGACTCGTCAGAGTCGCCTCTTTCCCCTTCTCCTTCCATCGAAGTCCTTTCCTCAGAGGTACCAATTTCTAATATTTTGCCTTTAAATTTTGAGTAAACGTTTTCTGATTGGTTGGTTTTCAACTTGGAGCAGGTTTCGTCTTCTGTGAAATGCGCTGTCGAGCCTGTCAACTTGTATGGCCTTACTTTGCTCAATATGTTTGATTCTTTCCTTTGCTCTGTTATATTTTCTTTGTCTATCTGCACCTGTTTGTAGAATGTTTTACAAGGATTTTTTTTGGCTCAATAAAGTTTTATCAAAGATTATCTATGAACTAATAATGACTTTGGATTGCTGACAGGAGGGTCACAAGGTCTCCTTGAATTTATGCAATTTGAGCATGTGTGTCCCTCAACATTGTATGCCTCCACGCATGTGTAACATTCATGTAATTGCTGACAGGAGGAATTGCTGAATGTTACACATGCATGGAGATTGCACATGGGTGAATGTTTTTAATTTGTGTCCTGAAAGCATTGTTGACGGACTTGGTGTGCGTGAACATGGCCGAACAGGATTTGATGGTGAGCTTTAATTTGTCTGTTGGTTATCCATTTTTTCCCTTGGTTGACATATGTGAGTGATAAATTTATATTTCACTTTTTCCTCTACATTAGGATAACGGAAAACATATGATGTTCTTATTTTGATTCAGATCAAACATTGTTGTTGTATTGTAGTCCTGCCAAAATGTTCTTTTTTCTGTTAATGCAAAATTTGATTGTTTGATATCAACTTACTTTGTTTCATTGTACTGTAAATCCATTGAATGTGTTGATGCACTCTATTTCATTGTACTGTAAACAGCACGTGCATGAACTCATTGTTTGGTTCAAATTTTTATTTATTAGCTACTTTTACATTGCTTTCTCTATTTTACCTATAATTGAATACAGCTTTATTTCATTACAATCTCAAGTAATTGCTCGCTCAGCTAGCTCGGTTACACGTTTTATGCCTGATGATATTCCTGGTGTTACTTCACCGATGGTTTATATTGGCATGTTGTTTAGCTGGTTTGCCTGGCATGTTGAAGATCGCGAGCTTCACAGCATTAAATTTTCTTCATGTTGGCTCTTCAAAGACTTGGTATGCTGTTCCTGGAGATTATGCATTTGCTTTTTGAGGAACTTATCCGCACTGAAGCTTATGGAGGTAATTTTGATCGCTTAGGTATGTGATTTTTTTTTTTTTTTACCTTCATATTACGTCTTTGGGCATTATCTGGGGGTAGGATTTAAAAACAGATTGCACGCTACCATATTATGGTTTAGTGGTTAGAGTTGACTTTTTATGATTTAGTGGTTATAATAGACTTTTTGTTGGACTTTTTAGTCTAGAATTACTTTATTATCTCTTCAAAAATTTTGTACTACAAACCAAAAAAACCTTAAAACAACCCGGACGGAGCCGGGCCACCACCTTAGTAAAGGTAACAAATTAAAGTCTTTCAACATACTACTACGATGGAATTGCAATTGACGATGAAATTGCTAATTATCAGTGCATTCATTTTGTTATACAGCTTACTGGAAAGGCTTCATCTGATGAAGACAGGCAGGAATATTTGCAGCTGAGAGCTAAAGTTGAAGTGGTCAAGCAAGGAATAAATGTCGCAAGGAAGGAAATAGGTTCTTTGAAGAGGCAATTGTTAGATGTACCAGGAAAAAACGGGGAAGAATACAGGGTTATTCTCAAATTGATTAAGATTCAAAATCAGGCAATTTGATGACTTTCAACTTTTGTATTGCTGAAAATATTTTAGTTATCCTGTGAAATATTTTATTCGTTAAGCTCAATGTTTAACTAAAGAAGTTGACTGTATCTCAGCATTTGGTGTAATTGATTGTTGCATAATTTCTTCATTTTAAAAAGCAAGGTTTAAATTTATCCTTTTCCAAATTAAAAAAAAAAAAATTTAGGATACGCTTGAGAGTTTAGAGCTTAATTGAAGGATTTATAACTGAACCTTAATTTGATTCCTTTAACTTAAGCTAGAGGCATGTAACGCAAATAGAAGTAATTTCCTTTTCTTGTAAAGTGGAAAAACAAATTACAAAAGCCTAAAGCTCATGAGTGATAGCCCAATATCCAGGCCCACACCATTATTATCCCACAAAGTAGACAAAACAAAAGTTTTCATTTTTGCTTTGGAGTTCGCCGCCCATTGTTGGTCTGCAACCCTGTAGCTAGTAGCAGGTTGCTGGTGGCAAATGGCAACGAACCCAAGTTTTCAACTGTTTTCGTCATCTAACGATACACCCAATTTAAGTTTAGGGTTTTTGGACTCGTCAGAGCCGCCTCTTTCCCCTCCTCCTCCCTCCATCGAAGTTCTCTCCTCAGAGGTACCAATTTTTAAGCTTTTGCCTTTGATTTTTGAGTAAACGTTTTCTGATCGGTTGGTTTTCAATTTGGAGCAGGTTTCGTCTGCTGTGAAATGCACTGTCGAGCCTGTCAACTTGGATGGCCTTGCTTTGCTCAAGGTGAATTTTTTAGTCTATGTTTAAAACAGGAGAAACTGTGGATCTTTTTTCTTTTTCTTTTTTTTTTTTTGGGCAGTAACTTTAGAAATGAATAAGAACCCATAAAAATGCTCAAATATTAGTTTTTTTTTTCTTTTTTTTCCCCATAAATGGGTGCTCTTGTACGATTGATAGTATCTAATTTTGCCATTGTTTTAGGGGCGGGTGAGTACCAAAGAGGTTTTTGGGTTGCCTAACTCGGATTTAGTCCCTGGAATTTACGAAGGTGTGCAGCAATCTTCTTCTTTTACTGTTTTTAGGCTTATTGTTTTGCTTCACGTTGGTTTTTCCTGACCCTGATGAAATCATACTGAGGATGCTTCCCAATGATTCAAACATGGTAATGATTGCTTTTTCATCTGTTTTTGTTTGTTGGGAGCTTAGGCGGACTTAAGTTATGGGAAGGATCATTAGACCTTGTTAAAGCTCTGCGCACTGAGGTTCAGAATGGCCATCTATCATTTGAGGGAAAGAAAGTGTTAGAGGTGGGCTCATAGTTTTCAGGTGATTGTATATGGCTCAAAAATATAAAAGTACAATCACAGTTGCATTATGCAGTTATTGGCTTCACTTCTGGAATCCTGTTTGTCAACCTAACTGACTTGATAGATTATTCATGTTATTAATAGGGTTCCTAGTGAAGTGCCGTGTTGCTATGTGCAAACTGAATATTTTTAGAAAATGCACTGGCAAGTTCAAGCCTGCACAAATTCATTGGGTTTTACTACCTTCTTGTTGACATGCTAATGTGCTCGATTATTTGATGTATGTGTTACTATGGTTACTAGTCACACCCACATTGATGTTCAGGGAAGTTTTTCTTTTGTGCCGGTTTTTTTTTATTGTTACCTTTTAGCATAAATCAATCACAGGATCAACTTTATAACTGTTGTTATTCAAGTCTTTTGGTTGTTTGAATGTAGCAATTAGACTTATAAGATACTAGAGTGGCGTATGAACTTTTGTAGTACATTATTTACAGAATATGATTTCTAGTATACATGATATTCTGTTTTGATTTCTTGTTAGCTCTTGTCAACCAGGGAGATGTGACTGATGAAGAAATTGCTATTGTCTGTCCTATATATTTAACTTCTAATGATAGTGCCTTGGAATAGCATATTTATATTCAGAAAAATGTCAATAAATATCTTGGCACGTCTTTTTCTTGCCACCACTTGCTGAGTTTCCTCTAATTGTTTTCAGCTTGGATGTGGTCACGGGCTTCCTGGGATATTTGCATGTCTTGAGGTAAATTCATGCGTGCTTGACCATACTGTGTACTGACTGGGAATATATGGTAAAGGGTCATTATTATTATTATTTTTGTCTTCAGGGTGCAGCTGCTGTGCATTTCCAGGACTTCAATGCTGAGGTCCTGCGGTGTCTCACCATTCCAAATGTAAATGTGAATCTTTCAGAGAAGTGTCAGCCTGACCCTGTAGCAGAAACACGCTTCTTTGCTGGTGACTGGGGTGAGATTCATCAACTACTTCCTCATGCATGTGAAAGTGAAATGAACCTGAACTCCAGCTCAGAACATGGCCAAGCTACTGGTTATGATGTTATTCTAACGGCTGAGACAATTTACTCAATCTCTGCTCAAAGGAACCTCTATGGACTAATAAAGAAGGTCTTTAGTTGTTCCTGATTCTTCTCTTTATTGCTAATTCATTGATTCCTAAGCTCTAAGCTTTCTCAATTTACAGTGCATGAGCCACCCACATGGAGTTGTATATGTGGCTGGAAAGAAGCATTATTTTGGCGTAGGTGGAGGAACACGTCAATTTCTTTCTATGCTTGAGAAAGATGGTAAGCTGATCCTTCATAGCTGTGATTATGTTAGTGGTAGGGGAACGTGTTATTGTGGGATATAATAGCTTCAAAAAAAATGCATTGGTAAGATAGGACTTAGTTCTAGGAGCATTGAGATTCATGAGGTTTCCTTTTTCTCTTTTCTTTTCGGGGTGGGAAGAGGGAGGGTTTTACCTTTTTTTCCTCATGCACTTAATAGGTGGTGGATGTGGTTAGAGTGGTTTGCAAAGACCTTTCATCATAGGAAATGTATGATTAAATAGATCTGATTATAGGACATCAAAGAAGCCATCTTGAGACAAGGGAAATTGTTCTCAAGTCTCTTTTATTATTGAGTCATTAGTCAAACAACTACAATTTTGTAGGGGTTATTGTTTCCAGGGATAGTTTGATAATTTTGTATTTTATTGGAATGGGACTATGTTCTGGTCTTTTTGTCTTATATTGGGTCTAATTAACTTATTAATTCTTTTAATTTTTATATGTTCTTTGGTTAATTTGGCTTGTCTTTTTTTAATAAGATGAAGAGTGGTAGCGGTTCAACTGGGTTCAATTTTACAATAAGTTTAGAAAAAAAGCTGATTGAGCATCTCTTGAAAAAAGAAAGAAGCAAAAAGAAATTAATTGATTTTGTTTGGTTTTCTCAAGTCTTGTTAATCTACTAATAATGATCATTATAATAGAATTTAAGATTATGATTTACGATAAAACAATTTCACTTTTGCTTGGTTTTGCCAATTTTTTAATTCAGAAATTGATATTAAAGCATAATGAAGGCAGTTTGAAAACTGAAGGAACAAAAATGATCAGGGCTTTCTGCAAACATGTTTAATCATTATATCTCTCCACATTTCTTAGACTTATCGGGATCTGTTTCTTGGAAATTTGCAATATTCATGAGTTCTTTGAGAACTCATGGTTAAGTGATTCATTAGTTTCTCCTCCCTTTTCGTTCTTTAATCTTCCATTGTTACTCTTTGCAGTGAAGGAACAGGTGCAGTTTTTTTATCATTTTGTAGCCTCAAACGTGATCCTATTGGATCCTTTCTAGCTCTTCATGTTCTCTGTGGAGAAATTCTAAAACCCTCTGTAAGTGTAGGACACTATTCCGTCTAGCTAACTTCTCAAACAATCATGAAAACCTTATTAATTATGCTACCTGAAAATGTAAGCTAGCTAATTATTCAATTTCAGCAAACTTTTCACAATTAAAACTTACTTGGTTGAAGTTCTATTCCTTTAATCTTTAAACCCTTTTTCCACAAACTTAGACTAAAATCCCTAAAATTTCTGAAGTCTACCACCACAAATCCTCTGTAGACAGGTTTGTGAAATCTGGCTTGCCTCTAATCTCTATGCATGTATATTTACACATATGTTCAGTACTTCAGTTTGAGGGTAACATACTTTCTTTGAAGATAAGCACCAAGGATGCTGCATTTCATTTGTTTCCTGAGGCTGTCCATGTATGAGGTAAAGGGTGCAAGATGCCGACTAAGTGCCTCTTTTTGTCCCTACAGGTGTTATGGCTGCAAGTCTTGTTACTGAAGTTGCTGATGGTTCCTCTAACGTGCGGGAGGTATGGAAGCTTTCATATAAGTAGATCCATAATTTTGGCCCATTGGGATATTGACACACTACAATGCTACTCTAAATGTGGATAATGGTGATAGCATGATCAAATTCAAGAAATGTTGCTCTATATGTGCACAGTATGTATGATTCCATGAACATTTTCCTTTAGTTGCTATTTTTAAGCTAGTCTTCATTTTCCGTAAGCCTGTTGGGATTCCTGAATTTTGTTTGCATTCTGAAAATTGAAATGTCACAATTTTTATTAGTCTTTATGATTTAGTTCTGAGAATGTGATCTAATTTTGTAGATATCCCCTTATAGTTGATGCAGAAGTATACATGAAAAACAATAATTAACTGTTTGTAACATTAATGATCAAGCTAATCTGCATCTGGTTTGCACAATAGGTCAGATTCCTGATTGTGCTGTTATTGTTTCTGTGTGTGCATTCAAAACTGTACGAAGGCTGGCAGGAATCAGTTGCAGGGTTGACTTTCTCTTATGTGGTCCTTGCATCTTCAAGTTACTCCTCATTGACCATCATGTTCTTGATTAAGTTAGATAACTTCCCATTATGATTGAAAATCAGTTGGCTAGTATAAAAAAAAAGCTAAAAAACTTCTGAGAAGCTCATGAGAAGTGGACCCTGAATGGGGATCTTCCCGTATAGGGGTAAAGGTCAGACTCTTTCCTTTCTTTCCCTCATGGCATGACAATTTTGAAGTCACAGGTTCTTGAGAACTTAAACTTGGAATTTGATACCATTCAGGGTTTCTGCACTTTAAATCAGCCCTTGGAATAATTTTAACCACCAATTATGTTAGCATAAAAGAACTGAGGTATTCGTCTTTAATTCCTGTAAAACAGTTTCATCTACAAAGTTGTATTTGATGGTTTATGTAACCGCTCCCAGTTTAAATCATTGTAGTGGAAGGTTATTGTATCAATAGACTAAGCCAATCAAATGTTTGAAGTAGCGGAAGTTCGTGTTGTTTCGATGCAATACCATGATTGGCTGCTAGCTAAATGGTAATAGAACGGAATGCTACAAAGGTAAAGTTTAGATCTTTTTAGGGCCAGTTTGGATTCCACTCCTTTGTGGTGGAATCCAAGGCCTTTTTGGGAGGCTAATTGCACAGGGGTGCATTTGGATAGTATCATGCGATGTAGTTGCTCTTGGTTTGTATTGGAGGGAGAAGGGTCTAGCGAACAATTGAACCTTAGAACAGTTGACTGCTTTAGTGTAAAAATGAAAGTTTTTATCATGTTACGTTTACATAAAAACACATCTCACATCTTCAATGTTGATCTTAATTTCACCTAATTTTTTTGCTATTATTATTTTAATCTTACTGAAATTAATCCAAGTGTCCATCCAAATAGACCCAACTATGTAATAGATTCTACCTGGCAGGAAATTTAAGAATAACCCAACACCACAGTTGTGAAGTCTCTTGTATGGTCCTATTTGATTGAAGAATTGTGGCTTAGTAGACTGGTCAATGTTTTGGATGCGAAGACATGAGAAGGTATTCTGCTTTAGCATTTGTTTCTGTCTGATAGACCTTGTGGAACAAAGTTGATGTTGACCTTACCATTGCTTTTTAGAGCATCATGGTACCCATGGGACAAGGTCTATTTCGAAAGTTTTAATGGTGACAAAAACATAACTTAAAGACTGAGAAAATTAATCGGTTACATGCGTGCTAGCTGGCTTTCACTTGATCTACTCAAATAATGATTAGAAAGTTAATTATTAGCGATGGCTTGTATGGTATGTCCTAACCCTGTATCTGTTTCTGGTTCTTTCCTTTTCTTTTTAAAAAGATGTCAGTTTAGGGATAAGATAAAGATTGCAAGGGATTTGAATAACAGTTTTACTGGACGATATCTTTTACCATATGAATCAACTAAACTAAATCTCAAATTTTTTTTTTTTTTTTTCATTTTCTACCCATTGCAACTTTATATTTCCCTAAGCCCTTTCCTTTCTGATGCTGCGACGCCTTCAAGTGCTTCTTCCCCTTATTTAATTATAAATGGAAGCTTGATTTTGATATCCCATAACTAGTCTTACCCATTCTGTCTCCTTTTGCGCTTTTTATTTCGACTATAAAAACATTGCTTGGCTTTGTTGCCTACATGTGCGATTCTTCACCTAATGAGCCTTTCATGTGTACCAACTTTACTTTCTTATTGCATTAATAGTTTACATACTTAACTGAGCTAGAATAAGGCTTTTTATTGCTTTTTGACTTATTTTTTTCCCCGGTAAAGGAATGCTCCTTTTGTTGACACGCTAAATCTGACATTTTAATAATAAGTTACATTATATTGAAGAGAAAACTCAACATGCAGGTTAGTAGTGGTATAAATGAACTGACCGAATTTGGTTGTGTGTGATTTATTGATTTAATTAATGGATCTTAAAATGTTATTTTAATGGTTCGTTAAACTTAATAAATGAATAAAAATCAAATATATTCACGAACTAATGTTCTACTCCTATACATCCTTATAGGTCGGGTCAGCTGATAACTATGGTTTCTTTCCTATTGACCCTTTTAGGGTTAGAAATGTTACTCTGATTTACTATCAAATACTTATACAGATTCTTTCTGGAACTTGAATGAGAATTTTGAAATTTAGTTACTCAACCAAGTCATGGAGTGGACAAACATAATTTGATGACAGGCTGCCTAGTCTAATTATGCTCTCTGCTATACTTAATATTGAAAAACTCTACGTTCCTTAGGATCTGAAATTGTTTTCCTTTATGATCTCGTCGGGCTTATTACTTTTACAGGAAATTTTCAGGTATAGGTTTTTTTATTTCTTTTCCTTGTTTGGTATCTGGATTGGAAAAATCATATCAGCAAAGATATCAGCAAAGACAACAGCAAGGCAGAGAACGAATATGAACCTTTGGAACATTGAGTCTATGAAATTTTGAATAAATTTCACAAAACTAAGAGAGAGAAAATACATATTAGGATCATGAATCAGACCTACAACGGTAGTACTTGGAGCACCCTCGGTTGTAAGGATTGGATGGTTGAGGGAGACAGCCTCCACTTTTACTATAAGCTTCACCGCCGGTGCCACCATTGCAAACTGGTTGGTCTCTTTTCAGTGCCCCGGGTGATATATACTTCTTCTGTTCAAGAAACCTTCTGCTCATATCTGATTCCATTAGGATCTCATTCGCTTCACTGCACTCGCCTACTGATCCAATGCATGACATGAATGCATCGCTGACCGGCGACAAGGCACTGTTGCTGAGGCAAAGTAAGGTAAGGAAGAACAGATGGAAGAAGAAATGAAGTGATTTCATGATCATTTTTGCCTTTGGTTGCCATTGGTTTCAAGTTCTTGAGCACTTTATAGAGGGAACATTTTCTTTTGTGAAAAGGCCATAGTGGAAACCGCATTAGGGATAAGCTGAGGGGCCGCACTTCACCTAACTTATATGATGGCACTGAATTTCTTTTATTCTTCATTTGCTGTTTTTGGTTTCGAGAGTTTATGTTTGTGAAGTATTTTTCATAGTTGGATGGGACAATGTGTGAATCTCACTGCTTTGAAAAGGAAATCAAGTGATTGGCAATCTTTTTATCCATTGCTGACTTAGATTATACATAAGCTTGATGTTAGATAATAATTTGTCACAGGGGGTTTATATGACCAAAAAGTCAAATCTACAACTAATGGTGAAATTAATAAGAAAAATATTATTGGAGAACTTTTAGTTTATATAATTATTTTTTTAAAAAATAATATTCAATAAATTAAATTTATAATTTCTTATATTATGATTTTTTATATATGAAAAATTATTGATTTGAACTCTTTATTTTTTTCTCAATTACTTGTATTTTATCTAAATTTAATAATTTAAAATATGATAAGATAATATTATATAAATATTATGTAACATATATATTGATACGAAATATAAAATATAATTTTATAATTTTATTAAATTTATTTATATTTTTTAAAATTTTAAATTATATTATTTTTATATTATTTATTTTATATTATTATATTATATTTTAAATTATGAAATTTAAAAAAAAAAAAAAAGGAAAAGCTAAGATGACCTCTGATCTAGTAGCCTGAGTCAGATTGACAACAGATCTGACTGAGGCCAATCATATCAACGATCGATAAATTAGTTTTTTAAAAAATAGAAGAGAGAAGGAATGGAAAGGGTAGAGAAAAAAGTTAGGACGTGGAGAGAAAGTTGATCGACGATATATTTAATTGATCCGAGATAGATCACCATCGATTTTTTCCCTGTCTTACCTTTTCTCTTTATTTCCTTCCATACTTTCCGTCCCTCTCATCTTTTCTTTTTTTTTCTCCTTTTTTTTATCTTGATTTTTTAAAAAGTTCTAGGTTTAAAGGTTTAATTTTGATTTTTTTTTTAAAAAAAGTGTATACTTTTTATTTGAAAATTTTTAGTTTTTATTTTTTATTTAATTTTTAAATTTTGAATTGTTTTATAAAAAATTTCTAAAAATTTTTTGTTTTAAGATATTTTTAAAAATATTGTTTTAGATTGACGTGACATTAAATGCACTAAAAACATGACGATGAATAGACCAGTATCTATCGCTCAACCTGGCATGCACCCAAGACAGCTGGCGACTAATTATTGGTCGATAAAGCAACGTGAACTTTTTTTTTAACGTATTAATCGTTGCGGTGATCCAGGTTATGAATTGATCGTCGAGAAATTCTATTTTCAAGTATCAAATGAGAAAAGTAGTACAGTAAATGAGCTAAATATATATTTAAGGGATAGTATAACTTATAAAGCTAATCTTAAATTTATTAATATGAAGCTACTGTGAAAATGTCGGTGGAAAAACGGAAAGAAAAATAAATGGAAAGGGAAAAAAAAACCCAAAACGATGTAGTTTAATTCACTGAATCACTCCCCTATCCCACAATTTTACATGGATCAATACTGAATATAATGAACTTCATTAATGTACTGGTTTTAAGGGGAAAAAAAAAACAGCAATAATAATCATAATCTGCATTAAGGAAAAGAGAAAAACTATATTGGGAGTAAGAAAAACCACAAATTGAAAGTACATTTTTATTCCTGATCATGATCATATTGATCAATACCTGCACCTGTAAATCTTGGAGCAACCTCTATTATATCGATTTGATGATGGAGGTAGACAGCTTATGCTGTAAGGCTGACCTTCAGGGCCACCACATGCCGGACAATCATGCCCGATAGCTCCATAACTGATTCTGGTAGCTTGAAGAATTCTTCCATTTGACTCGGATTCCATTACAAGTTCTTCATCAATGTCACCACATTCTTCTATTGAACCATCACATTGTCTGTTATCTGCACCAGCAGCAGCAGCAGCAACTCTGTAATGGGGGCTAAGTTCTTGAAGCAGCAGCAGCATTAGTAATGGTGCAAGTAGACAAGGAATGTAAATCTCCTTCCGTTTTATTTTCATTTTTTGGTTGGAGTGGGGTTGAGGTGAGAAGAAATTCTCTTCAAATCTTGGGTTTTAGCTTTTTAGACAATTCCAATCTTATGTTGAGATCACTTTAATCATTATTGGAGTGATCAGGTCAGCGTCTGGTCTTAATTTCCATGTTTTTTTCATTTAATGTGTGGTGACCAATGGATTTATGGAATTCCTGTGGGGTTGCATTCACTTTGCCATATCTGACAGTGACTTCGAACATATAACCCAGAAAAATCATTTTGGGTTCAGATTTTGCCGATGCTTTTGAGTTTTGGGATTTGAGATTTTCCTCAAGAGAGCAAGTTGGCATTCATAAGTAGACCCTTGCTTATTGTATTGGTGGGCTTTCCTGGAAATTAATGGGGAGGCTTATGATTGAAGATCTTTCACTGTTTGATTCACATGAGTTTCTGAGAAAATATAATTTCTCTTTCATCACATTAACAGCACAGTCTCAATGATAGAGCTATGTCCTTTTCTCTTTGTTTGGTTTCTACTTAAAAAATATTATTCTAGGTTGAAATATAAATGTAGAAATAAACTCGTGAATTGTAGCAAAATTACTTTTGCTAAAGGATTTTTTTTTAACTAAATTTAATAAATTCATGCAACAGCTACTCTTAAAAGATATTATCCAGCAGATAAAGATTCGAATACCAATAACCACTTCCCCTATCCCCATGAATTTGAACCTCAAACAAACCTCATCTTCATTTCCTTAGTTCTTACCATCAGATTACTTGTTTATTTTCCATACCAAAGATGACAGAACCATGGCCAACTCTCCATGCAACAGAGCTTTCCTTGCTTTTTGTCATTGCTATATGCATTCAATGGTTCTCATCTGTCAGCCTCTCCTCTCATACCATTCAACATTGCTTTCTATCATCAGTACCTTGCTGCCCTGCTTCTTTATCATCTCTAATTGCCTGGAAATGGAAAAATCATTTGCCAATCTCTATTGGCACCATTTATTGTTCATGGCTGCTTATCTTACCACAGTTTGCAAGAGCAACAAACAGGACTTGGCAAAAGGCCAGGGAACTTAATATTTTTCTTGGGGGTTTTTTTTGGTTTTTTTCGAGATTGCGTAATTACTAAAATTAAGAATTCAATACTATACCTATAGACCACCCAGCCATTGGTTTATTTCTTTCCCCTTACGCCATTTACATTTTGTATCAAAATTGGGTCGGTTGAAGAAAGTTGGAGATCAGCAAAGAAATGATTCATCAGAAGAGAATGTTGTTCCTCTTCTGATATAGATATCATTTTCCTTCATGGGCAACGGAATTGCTATGATTGGAAGATGGTTCATTCTTAGAGACAGCTTTTTGTGCCTGGTGGCGGGACAGGTATGGTGTTCTCAATTGGGTTCGTGTTCTTCTGTTATTATCTGTTTACTGCAGGCAAATCAAGAAGCCACGATCAGCTTCTTCAAGAGTCTTCCAAAATCTAAAAGCCAAAGAAGATATCTTTTTCAAGGTTGGAAAGTTCATTTCATTTTAAGTTTTGTTCCTAAGTTTTAGTGCGAGAAGAGATAGATCCAAACCTTCACATGCTTAAAGGTGTCGATAATCAATTTAGGTATGACCATAATTGGACATGCATTTAAGAAATTTTTTTTTTTAACAAATGAACGACTAAAAAGAGTTACAGACGTTGATATTTAATTTTAATTAACAAAATACCACTTTTTAAAAATGATTATATTAACCAAGGAAAGCTCAATATCAATGTTTAAGATTCAAATCCTTTTATATATGTTCTGACTAGCTGTTCCTTGAAGTTTTGTAATTGAGTTGCATTAATAAATTTTCTTCCACCTTTCAAGAAATAAAAGAAAAGATGTAATGCCTTTAAACATGTTGTCCATTCATGCACTTGTCATAAAAATTTTGAACTACAAGCCTGTACTGACATCGAGCATTGAAAGAGTTCTCCTTCTGACAAAAGAAGAAAACATTTTCTTTCTCCATTTCAGTCTCCAAATAAATAATAGAGGAGAGTGCTATCACTCGAAATTTCTATCCAAACCCCGTCTTAGCTCAGCAAAACCACCCTAATTCCGTTTTATGAACAATTCTTCTTGGTTTTATTTTATAATCCTTTTGGTCTTTTTTTATTAAAAAAAAAAAAGAAACAAAAATGAAACCCAAGTTACCCTACCCACCCAATTCTCAATTCATCCTGAAATTTCCTATGCTATTTGCAAGTATTTTATTCCAATAATATGCAGTCCTCCATTCTTAAATTGAAAAAACAAAAGAAGTTAAAACAAAAACAAAGGCCAAACAACTGGAATTTGATGAATATACAATTTTATAAAGATAAAAATTTGTTGGGTAAGCAGAGTCATTGCAGAAAAGGAAGAATACAATAGTCATAAATCATGTTTGTCAAAGGAAATTTACTTGAAGAGATTGGCTATTTCCTCCTTGTATTGAGCTACAACTCTGTCTCTTCGGATTTTCATGGTTGGGGTCAATAAGCCACTCTCAATCTGCAAAATGATCAGTATATATTTGAGTCCAACATAAAATATGCAGAATCAAAGATCATACTGTCTACACGAGTCTTACCGTAAAAGGTTCATCCACAACAAGGATCGGTCCAATTTGAAATGAACACTCTGACGTCCTGCATAAAAGAGAATCAAGTTAGACGACAGCCTTCCACTTAAACCCCGATGATAACAGCCAACATATGTGCAGACACTGTGCTGCTATATACAGTGGAGCAACCATCAATAAAACTCAAAAAATATTAAGGGTTGAAACAAATCCAATGACATGAAACAAGCAGGAAAATGAGTTTGCTCCTGGAGAGATTTATGGAACTTGCCAGGAGGTCTGAAGCCCACAAAATTAACTCAGAGGACAAGTTGCATTATTAATAATAATGAAATCTATATCTCTGCAGGTGTATAGCACATTAAACCTATTAACTCTTGATCCATGTTTCCTAAAAACCAAAATTTATGCCTCTCCCTCTCTTAAGCACTGCAACAGGAAGAAAGAAAAAAGAGAGGAAATGACACCTGTAGAGGCCCTTGAATCCTAACTAAAATAATTCAAATATCTGAATTTGGAAGTATTACCACTTCCTCAATTCTTCATATAGCAGGCTTGTCATTTTGTCCCTGCCTAGATCGATGGCACCTGCATCTACAATAGATGAATTTTTTGCAGCCTGGAGTAGCTCATCTTTGTTTGGGACGATGATAGCTCCTAGGCGTCGTTGATCCTGGACAGAAGATGTCAATCAAAATTGAAAAGTCATAAATCAAGTCAAAAGGTGGAAATGATACGTGTACCTAAGCAAAGAAACTACATGCAAAAGCCACAAGCAACTTTATGGAAAGAATGATGTCCAACTTGCCTGGCCAATGACAACAATCTGTTGAATAAGAGCACTCCTCAGGGCAGCTTCTTCAATCTCTAAAGGTTCAACATTTTCACCTATTTTCTCCAAAGAAATCTCTTTAGTTAATAAAGGAAAGTATGGAAAATAAGTGTTTAACAGAGTTTAGAAAAAGAAAAGACTTCAAAGTATGGTTGCAGCATCAGAGTTCAACTTAGTAAACTTAGACCAGTAGTGTGCTATCACATAAATTTTTCCCAACCTACAATCTCAACTAAAACCCCCTTTAGTCCAACCACATGAACTGAGCCTAGGTGAATTTTATCAACTATGATGGATATTCATATTATGCCAAATTCTTAGGAGAGATTTATATTATTATAATCATATTATAGGTAGATATTCGGTATGAAATTGATGCCCTAAGTAGTTAAATTACGGAAGATAACTCTGTCAAAATTATAACTAGAAAACTACATGTATACAGCAAACAGATAAATGCAGTTTCACACTAAAAAGTGAGAGAAGAGTGCATACAGACATAAGTTGGATAGTTATAATCTAAAACATTTAGTACTCTAAACTGAACTAACCTATAACAATATGCATAAAGGACCTAAATGACCAAATCAAAACTACAATGAGATGATTGTTTTAAATTGCATGTAGGAAGATTGAACTTGCGGGTTATACAAGTAGGCTATAAGTATACCAGAAGAAAGAACAATAGTGTCCTTGGCACGTCCTTCAAGAACAATCACACCTCCACATCGACGACTTCGTCCTACTGAATGATGAGGAGCAATCCAACCTATATCACCAGTGTTTAGCCAACCATCTTCATCTAGGGCTTGCCTCGTAGCCAATGGATTCTAACCCAAACAATAACCAAAATATGTCATCTGAGATGCCAAAAGAACTCAAATGCATGTTATTTGACACTGACAAACAATGAAAATTTGATTTGGAATTGCTAGAAGATTAAGATAACTTTTTGTACACAAGATTATGATAAGATATGATAAAATGACATTATGCATATGATTAAATTAAATAATATCATCCTATTTTGTATTTGATGTATGTAAGGATTAAGATAAAATAATTTATTTATTTGTTAAAATTATCCTTCCTCAAAATTTATATAATTTAAATTATTCATGTAATTTTTAATATTATAATTGGACATATAAGTTTAATCTCATGGATTAAAAATAATTCTATCCACTTGGGTAGGATTGAATAATTCTATGCCAAGAGGATATTAATCCTCCTTGCAATCCCTATTCTTCTTTTTAGATACAAATCAAACATGATATAAGATTATTATTTTTCTATCAATAATCCTATGCATCAAATATGACCTACAACTCTTACACTCATAACTTTTTCCTTCTTAATCTGACAAAATCCGTCCAATGAAACAAATATTGTTGTTTTTTTAAATAATATTGGTGTTATATGCAAAATATAAATTATGCAAGTTATTGTTTTCTTGGCTTCATTCAGGTTTTTCATTTTCTACACAACCAAGGTTCAGTTTATAGGTTAGGTCACTGGCCATCCTATCACTACCAAATGTGAAAATCCTCCTCCTGTCCAAATTCCAAATGCATTTCTTATGACACAAGGGATTTGCTATACAAATGACCAATTCTAAACATCTTTCTGGGTTAATAAACATTTGATGCCTGAAAAAAACAAATTCACAATTAAGTACTCCAACTTCGTTAAGCAAATTGTACACCTCAATGATTCCATTAGTCAAAAGGGTGACATGGCAAAAAACAATCAATAGGATTTAGACATGGGGCGCATTGCTACTGCCTATTTTATGCCACATCACCCATTTGACTAGTGGAGTTAGTCTTAGGTGCAAACTATTTAACACAAGCAAAATTTGAGTACCCAATTGCGAATTTTAAAAGTTTAGGTACCAAATCAAACATTTGATCATAGTTCAGGTAATAAATGTGTAATTAATCCCATTTGTAATTCACACATTTAGAATCACATGTGGCTAATGCATAAAATTTCTTGATTTTATCTTTCCTTCTCTTTATAAAAATAACTAAAGAAGATTATAATACTAAGG